AGAGGAGAACCAGAGAGGGGGCAGATGCCAGACCCCATAGAGCACTCTGAGCTATGGAGCACAGGGGCTTGGGCTGGGGTAACGACATGTTATGGGAAGGGAGTCAGGAAATGCACAGTGAAGAGAGGCTGCCTGCTCCTGTGGCCTCTCCAGGCATAAAATCACTCAGGGCATCCCTCTTCTTGATACAGGTAGCTATTAACACAATTTTCTTTCCCTTCTAGATGCAAATTCCCTTTCTGAGCTACCCCTATCTGTGATTTCTCAGCTGAAAACACACCAAAGGGGTGCATTGTGGGTAAAATAGTCAATCATATTTTGGAATACTGTATCCTTAGCTCTAACATTACAGGTACAGTGGTGCTCTTAAGACACACAGAGCTAAACACTTCAAGTGAACATAACCATAAGTGTGTGTGGTTGGTTTTTACTTTTGTCCCTAAGGTTCTGTCTTGTTGTTTTGTTGGGGGCAGGGGTGGTCTCACTATGTAACTCTGGCTTGCCTGAGGAAATCACTATATAGACCAGGCTGTCCTTGAACTCACAGAGATCTGTGCCACCCTAGTGCTAGGATGAAAGACCGGTACCACCATGCCTGGCCTTTTTTTTTTTTTTTAATGAAAGTAAAATAAAAACAAAACAACAAACAAAGCAGAGCCCAGTTCAATGAAGCATTAAATATGCAAGGCACGTGAGCATTCAAACGTGAACATCAAGTTTACACCTTCACGTTCCTTGTAGAAGCTGCCCCCTGCTTTGAAGGAGGCTGACAACATGTGTCACCTAAATGTTTCCTCTGTAACTGAGCACCAGAGAGATGCTTCCTGACTTCCCTCCTGTGGGTCAGGGACTCTAAGTCCCCAAGGGACAGAGTGTCTTCCACTCACCCAAGCCAGGCAAGTTCCCACAAAACTACAAGATGAAAAAGCCCTTTCTTTATACCACCAAACAGGAAATAAAATCACAGAAACCCCAAAGGGAGGACTAGGTGCCAACAAGTGAAAACAGAAGTGTTCAGCAGCAATGAGGAGAGTGTAATTCGGTTGGGGGTCCAGTCCCCACAGATCTGTCACACTCCCCGCAGAAAGAGCACTGGTCTCGATCAGTGGGCTCTTGGAAATACCTGCAGGTAAGCTGGAGAGAAGGCCCCTGTGCCTGGCAATGACTCTCAGAACGGGCACAAGTCTAGCTGCAAGGAATCTCAAAACCCCTTCCATTCACAATGCAGCTCTGGAGGCATAAAGCTGGGTTTGCCTCCCCTCTGCCAGGCTTTCTTTTGTTGCCTTTCACAGGAGGGAGCTAGCAACCAGGAGGGTCAGGGGACATGGGACTGCACAGTCTTTAACTCCCCGCACTCTTCCAGGGAAGGGGTCATGGCTATCTTCTTGCGGGGAGGGGCTAAGATCAGTCCTTTCTGTGCTCTGTAATTAAAACACACACAGGCACGCAGGAGGCTGGTCTGGCTTCCCCATAAATAACAAAGTTCATGAGATGCTCAGCACCAGTGCTGACTGCCAAGTCTCACAGCTGCCTCCTAATTGTTTGGGTATGAGAAAATTTTGTGTATAGCTAAAAGAATTATTTGATAACCAGGCTATAGTTCCTCAAATAATTCAAAACTGTAATCATGCATTGAAATGCAGAAAAGTTGCTTGATAAATGTGCCCTCCTATGTAAGTAGGCAGATCAAAGAATGCTGCGTTAGGGTATTTTGTTGCCTTGTGCAAATAGTGCTCATAAGAGCAGGGACTGGCTTGGCAATAAATAAATAAATAAATAAACAATTATCAAGAACTAAATGACTGAATGGACTTCCAGCACTGTGCAGGACCCTGTTCCTCAGAGCGGGCTATGGTCTCCCTTCCCAGATCACTGTTCGAGGGAATCAATGTCATGGGACAACAAACACATGTTTTGAGGGATTTCAGTTTTAATAAATATTCAGGCACAGTAAGCATATCAGGTTTATAACACAATTAACCTGGCACTAGAGAAGAGAGTGCAAATGGTCCCAAGTATCGCTACTGAGGGACATTCTGAGCTCGTGCCTGCACCCACAGGGCTCTGACGGGCAATCCTGTCAGAGGTACTTGTTGGAATGTTTACAAATCTTTGTTCTCGGGTTCCACTTCTTCTAGCAATGCTGATAACGTGATGTCTGGGCTACAGCAGGGCATCACTCTCCTCCCCTGCAGAAATCTGCGGGCACAGATGGCAAGGATACGGAATCAAAAGGGACAAGAGAGCTGGCTCCTGTTTTAACCTGAGAAGCCCATCTTCAAAGTCTTGCTTACATGCTTTTCAAGACTGATCACCTCTGGCTGCCGCTGCTTTAGCATCTTAGTCCCCGAGAACTTCTAAAAAGAAGTTCCTAGCAGAAATGTTGCTCATCGTGAGTTCTGGTTGTATTTCATAATCAGGTCATAATCTTGTTTAATCTTTTCTGGATATGGATGCCTATAACCAAAGCACAGAGAAATGCTTCCCTGTCTTTCACTCTAGAAACTCTGAGGAAAATTTGGAAGCTGTAATTCATTAATTCACTATGAGCTCTTCTGCGTAGAAAGTTGTTCAACCCTGCTTAGGTTTTAGTAGAAAGTCAATCTTTTACACTTTCTTCTCTCTTTTGTAAAATTAACCATTTAGACTGACTGAGAAGAATCAAGCTCTTTTGTTTTGTTTAGTTTTGTTTCAGTAAAAGGAAATTTACCATGTTGGCACATGCCAGGCAGTTCTGCAGCTTGACAATTCTTTACACCCCTAAGATGTAAGAAATCCATCACAGCAACCCAAATATCTTAAACTCCACTGACAGACAAGTCTAAGGGTTATTCTTCACCCCGAAAAGCCATGAATCATGAGTACTCTCATTCATTCAGTACCACACTTAACTCTGCTGGTGTGGGTGCCCCTCACACAGCTTTTCAGAACTAGAAGCATCTAAGACCTAAGAGAAGCTTGGTAATGAGCTGCCAAAGCTTCATGGTGGGAACTGCTAGGGTTTCACACTGGTCAGCCAGCCAGTCTAGCAGAATGCATGAGTTCCAGAGTCAGTGAACAATGATGTTAAAAAGGAAGAAACAAACATGTGGAATGTCTCCTGGGAAACCTCAGCATTCTTGGGGTAGAGGTTTATCCTCTCCTCTGGGCCAGGCAGAGCCTCCCACCATCTGCCTGTTGCCTGTTTGCAGGGGTCCTTGTCACATCTGCTAGAGGGATGCATCAACATCAGAGGATACAGGTCCAGGATGTGACTCAGGAGCAGTATGCTCGCCTCGCACATGCAAGGCCCTGGGTTTGCTCCCCAAGCCTCCAAAACAAGTTTCCTCTCCTTTGTTCAGAATTTTTCAATGTCTTCCCATTCCCTTGGCATAAAAGACCTTAGCACCTACTTCTACACCACTGGCCCAGCATTGCTCCAAGGTCCCAGCTCGGGACTCTATCCTTACAGTTCCTGCTGCCTGCAACCTCTTCCTCCAGAAGTCTGACCCTCCTCCTTTCCTCCCTCCTTCCTTCCGAGTTCTTCTCAATGTTACTTTTCCAGACTGCCCTACTTAAATAGCACTCTCTCTCCTTGCCTTAATTTCCTCCAGAATCTTAACTACCTGTGTAATTACACGTTTACTTCCGTCTGCCTTTCCTCACGAGAATGTAATCTCAACAATGTCCCTGTTGATCCTCAGTTCCTGGTCAACAGCAGGCACTCAAGACTTGCCTTAGAGCATGCTGGGTGCTTTCTTGGGAAGGTGTGTGAACAAGTTTACTAAGCTGCACGGTAATTCAAGATGGGCATCATCATAGTTACTGTCATCATCTCTGATGAAGAAATGAAAGCACAGTACTTACTATCAGTAATAAGGTAGAGAATTTGAACCCAGGACACCAGCTCTTTATAATCCCCATGATACATTGCACCACTCCTGGCTAATAGAAAATAATTACTGTAGTGCTTTTCCCTATACTAGACTCTTAAAAATTCAGATAATCAAAGCATGACTTTGAAATATCAAGTTTCCTAAAATTGCCTAATATCTTAGAATAATAGATGTGATTGGTTTGGGGGGGGGGGTTGTTGTTGTTGTTTTGAGCTCAGACTAATAAACAAGGGCAGAACAGGAACCACAATTACACCTCCCTTCGGCCTCTAATTCTGAGACCCACTTCCACGAATGCTCTCCGGATTACAGACTTGCTCAGGTAATTCTCCCGCACCATGGAGATTACCATAATTAGCTGCCATGATTAGCGCTGGTTCGGAAAGGCAAATCTCAAATACAAACGCCGCGGAGATGCCAAGCCTCACAAAGGGCCCCTTTTGGACTATAGCAACTCACTCAAGCCCCTTGCTTATTAGTGTGACGATTCACACAGTGCACTGGGTAAGCCGAGGGTGTCACCTATTAGAGGGCATGTTGATGCAACCTTATCTGAGAACTTACAAAACATAAGACTCTGAGCCTAGAATAAAAGAGAAGCGTGTGTATGCCCTGGGAAGTATTCCACAAAGAATGTCGGGAGATATTTAAACTAGCTAAGGACAGAGACGATTTGGCCAGGTACCTGCGGAAGAAAGCATCTAGGACCCCGACATGGGTCTGCGCTTCCTTGGGGAAAAGAGCCTTGGTCGGTGTTCTGCAAACTCCCTCCCTGGCTGCTTCTTTCTTTAGGATCAAATACAGGCTTCTGCGAGCTTAGGACCCTCCATTCGCTTTCTCCGCCCGACAGTGAAACCAACCTTTCCTCCCACTCGGTTGAAATTCTCTAAAAGAAGCCACTCCGGGTCTCCTGCTTTGGAGTCCCCCATCTTCTCTCGACCTCGCTCCCCAACATCCCACCTGCCCCCCAGGATGCGGAAGAAGGTGAGTGATTGGGCTGCGGGCCAGGATGGCCAGGAGTGTCCCCGGCACCTGTCACCTGGCCCACCTGGGCCCTCCCTCCCCGCCGCCCCAGCCCCACCCACCTTCCCGCCGACTAGCCACCGCCCACCCCGGCCTCCAGCCACGGTCCAATGGCCGTGGGGCAGGGCACGCTGAGCAAGCCGCGGCGCCCCGGTCGCGTCCCCGCCCTGTTCCCGGTCCCGGGTTCCCGAGCTGGGCCCTGCCGCCTTTAAATGCCACCCCGGGCCGACGCACTGCGGCCCTTGCCACCGTCCTCCCTCCGCCGCCGCCGCCGCGACCTCCGCGCCGCTCGCCTCCCCTCCCTTCCCCCTCCCGGGCCGGCGGCCGCGCCAGCCTCGGGCGTGCGCGCGCGCCCGTGTGAGCGCGCGCCCGGCTCGGACCCGCGCCCGCCGCCGCGTCCCCGCCGCTCGCTGCAGGAACATGGCGGGGTCGGTGGCCGACAGCGACGCCGTGGTGGTGAGTGCCCGCGGCCGCGAGCGGGGAGGGAAGCTTGGCGGGCCGGGGCGAGGCTTACGGAGCGGCGGCGCTGCAGGAAGCGCCGTACCTGTCAGCCGCCGCGGGCTGGGAGCTCCCGGTCCCGGGGGCGCGGGGCAGGAGGGCGCCGGCCAGGTGCGCGCCGGGCGCGTGGGCGTGCACGTGGGTTAGTGTGGGGCCGCGGCCCCGGCGGCCGGGGAATTCCCCCCTTGGGGACAATCCCGCGCCCGGGGCTCCCGGAGAAGCGGCGCGCTGTCGCTGCTCACCAGCCACGTCCCAGAGGACAGGCCTGGGGGCAGAGGTTCCGAGAGAGCATTTGTGCTTGGAGAGGGGCCTGCAGCCCACCTACACGGGCTTTGCTTCCCGGTGGGCCGCGACCTTGAATTTGATCCGGTCTAAGAGTCTGGGGATCAGCAGAGGCTTAGATCGGGTGGAAAGGCCGGGTTTTGTTTCGCGGTTATTTAATGAGCTCTAAAGAGGCATCATGTGCAGACATTGCCTATGTGTCTGTGGAGGGCTGCTGGATTCCCACAGATTTGCGTGGATTCCTCCCCGCCATTCACTCCCTAATAAACAAGGGTCTGTGGAAAGCCAATCTGTGTGCTTCTATTTTTAGAAACTGGATGATGGGCACTTAAACAACTCCCTGGGTTCTCCAGTTCAAGCCGACGTGTACTTCCCACGACTGGTAAATCAATGTGCTCAATGTCTCTGCCTTTATCCTTCCTTTCCGATGCATTTTCCTTGCTTTCTGATGGGTCAGGTCCTTAGGGCCGAGGGCCTGGCTCTTCTCTAACAAACAGCCTGTAAACTTCCTGTTTCTCCCCTCTTCCTTTGCAGATAGTTCCATTCTGTGGGCACATTAAAGGTGGCATGCGACCAGGCAAGAAGGTATTAGTGATGGGCATCGTAGACCTCAACCCAGAAAGGTAAGCGCAGAGCCCTGCAGTTGCTAAGCTGTGGCTGCCTTCTCTTCCTCTCCTTGTAGACAGTGTTATTACTTAGGAGCGCCAAGAAAGTACCATGTTCCCATGAAAAGAATGTGTATGAATCCTAGCCATCATCTCTCTAGATAGCTATTTATATCAGCAGTGACAAAAATAGGCCTACAAGTTTCTCTTTGACCCTTGAAGAGGCCAAAAGATTTCTTTTTCTTTTTTTATGGTTTTGAAACATTGTAAAAACTATGAGAATAAATAAGAACCAAACTTTACAAGATATCTCCCTTGTCAACTTCTGGAGCTGTTTTTGGGAATTCTGAAATGGATTAAGGCACGGGTGGCCTGGGGCATTTGAAGTCTTCAATTGCAGCTATTTTCAGTTCCGAAGTTTGCACCAGAGCCTGCTTTAGGTAACAGAATCTATTGGTTTGAGTGTAATCCTCTCCGTGTTTAGACACTGTGTAAACAGTAGCGGCCCATTAACAGCAGATGAACCCACAAGAGGAGGAACTGGGTCAAGTTAAAATGTTACCTCTAACTCCAGCTAAGTGACACTGTTTCCTTTTTAGCTTTGCTATCAGCTTGACCTGTGGCGACTCGGAAGATCCCCCTGCAGATGTGGCAATTGAACTCAAGGCTGTCTTCACAGACCGGCAGCTCCTCAGAAACTCTTGTATCTCAGGAGAAAGGGGTGAAGAACAGTCGGCGATCCCTTACTTCCCGTTTATCCCAGACCAGCCATTCAGGGTAGGTACCTCGAGTGCTTGAGCAGAGCGTTGGCCGGGCTGCTGCTACTCCTTATCTGCCGTGTGCCAAGAGCTCTTTAAGAATTTCTTCCTGGTCCAAGAACCTTGTCTCCCTGCTGCGAGAAAAGGATAAAAACACAGAAGAGATCTGCTGGCAGATAGTGGTCAGTGCTTGCCCACAGGAGCGCTTGATTCTGGTCAGCCCTGTGTCTGGTTAATGGATGCCTGTGCACACCTAATTGCTAAATGCTTAACCACAACTCTACTTAGCCAGTATGGAGGTATTAATTATTTATTTGTCTACTTTTGGGGCGGTTCTGGGGGAGCCCAAGGCCTTTGTGCACATTATGTAAGGTCTTCAATTCAGCTACAACCCCAGCCCTCTATTTTATTTCTGTTTTGAAACCAAGAGCTCACTAAGTTGCCCAGGCTGGCCTTGAATTTGTAATCCTCCCGGCTCAATTTGCTGAGTAGCTGGGATTACAGACCTGTATCTTCTGGTCAAGCTGGGAGTAGTTAGTAAATAATCTCTGTGATTCCCCACATGGTGTTAGGCACAAAGTCCTAATGTCTGATTCATTATTAAATATTAATAAGTACCCAGAATTTTCCTATTTCTGGGCCTTTGAGTAGCTCAAAACCGTATTAGTTACGGGTTTAAAACAATTTAGTGATTATTATTTCATTTTCTCTCATTCCCTTTGCTAATGAGTCCATGTTTGTTTATTTATTTTCCCCTGTGGGTTAATTATGCCTGTCTGTTTCATGGTCACACACTGTGTGGCTGGCAAATTCCTTCCCTTGGGTTTGGATAATAGAGGTTTTACTCCTGCTATCTGACAGAGGAAACACAGCCCAAACTTGCCGTCTCATCGGGCAGCTGTAGCAATACATTCCTCTGCAGAATACTGCCAAATAAGAGGTTCAGCTCAGTAATATAAAAAGGACTTGCTGACACGTCAGGCCTGGTGATGAGGCCCTTGTCTACATGGACCTTCTTACCCTGCTTCTCAACAGTGGCAGCTTGGTCAAAGGCTCCAAGCTGCATAGAAGCCAAACAAGCAAAACAGCTCTTGATATGTTGTTCTTCGTGTGGAGCTTCTCAAGGCCTTGTGCTTATTTCTCTTTCCTTATAGTCTATGGCAAAATACAAACCCATAACCTTTTTACATCAATGATAGAAATGAGCTTGTCCCCTTGTAATCATAACCTAAGAAGTTACCTTTTACTGCAGATCCTCCTTTAGAATGGTAAGCCCTCATGGGTTCCTCTTGCTATGCAGTTCTTAAATGGTAAGGGTGTGTGTGTGTGTGTGT